GTCCTAGAGGCTCAGACTTGTGACACCGGTTCCTAGGGGGTTCTTTTTGTATATAATCAGTATTGGCATCTCTTGTTTTTGGTATCTGAATCTCATGTATTTTGAGTTTATTGCTTCTTTCATGTCTCCTATTCAACTAATGGGTCTTATGGTCGGGCTTGCCTAGCCTCACGGCCGGGCGCCATCGCGACCGGATTTTGGGTCGTGACACAATGTGACTCCGGAAGCAATCAGGTTGCTATTATTTCCTTGCTCAGTGACAGGAGCTGCTCAGGTGTGGCTAAACTCACTCCCTATTAACTCCATTGAAACTTGGGATGAGTTAGTCAAACAGTTTCACAATAAGTTCCACCCGCCCAATAAGACCGCTCAGCAAATTGATGACATCGTGAGCTTCAAACAGAAACCTATGGAGACTTTACATGAGACATGGGGCAGGTTCAAGGGAATGTTGGTGACGTGTCCTCATCATGGTATTCCAGAGCAGATGCTGGGGTAACGTTTTTATATGGGGTTTTCTGATAGCATGAAGAATATTGTGGATGCTTCTGCTGGTGGGGCATTCTTGGGTAAGACTTGGAGAGAAGGGTAGAATTTGCTAGACAAAATGGCTCAGAACTCAGGATGGACTACTCGGAATGCACCTATCACTCCGGTGGTGCACTCGGTACCTCTCGATCCGTCCAACAGTATGGCTGCAAATATGGCAGCTCTAGTGACCCAGATGAGCATTCTTACCAAAAGGGTAGAGAAGTCGGGACAGAAACAGCAGGTGCATATCGTTAATACTACCAATGGAGGCTTGTGCACATCTTGCATCAGCCAGCCAATTGGTAATCCATGGAACGTAGAGCATGATCATCACCACCAGCAGCCTGAAGATATGAATTATATTGCAAATTATAGGGGTCAGAGGCAAGGAGTGCAGAATTGGGGACAACAGGGTCAACAGCAGTTCAGACCACCTCCACAACAATACAATACCGGGAATATGGGAGGCATGAGACCTCCTAACAATATGGCACCGTATCCTAGACCTCAAGGGTACAATCAGCAGCAAGGGTATCACCCACCTCAGCAACAACATGGTGGAAGACAGGAAGATGGGTTTGCCAGATTAGAAGCAATGATGCAGCAAGTAATCGGGTCCAATGCTAAAATAAACGAAATAGTGGATGCTCATGACGCAGCAATAAAGAACATTGAAGTGCAAGTGGGCCAAATTTCTATGGCTCTAAACAACCGTCCTCATGGGACGCTGCCTGCAGACTCTCAAACAAATCCTAAGGACCAGGGCCCGAAACAGCTAATGGCGATAAGTCTGCGCAATGGTAGAGATCTTGACATGGAACAGGAGAGAGCTCGGGAGAATGTATAGACAGAGACACTTATTCAGGTGCCCATCGAGCTAGATGAATCCACAGGGCTGACAGAGGTGACAGTCCAGCCTGTACAAGAAAATAATAATGCTCAACAGGAGACAGAAAAAGTTGTTGAACCAGTGGCCGAACTAGTTGAGGAGATTGTAGTTGAAAAGACAAAGTCCCAAGTGCTTGGGAAGAAAGAACCTCCTGCACCGTTTCCACAGATATTGGCTAAGCATCAAAAGGAAGAACAAAATAAAAAGTTCTTTGAGATGCTCAAGCAAATTCAGGTGAACATTCCTTTAATTGAAGCTCTAAAGGAGATGCCTGGTTATGTGAAGATGATGAAAGACTTGATGTCTAGGAAGTTTGACTTCCAAGACTTGGCCACAATTACACTCACACAGACTTGCAGTGCAGTAGTGACCAGACCCGTTGTTGAGAAGCTCTCTGATCCAGGGAGTTTCACTATTCCCTGCACTATTGGTAATTTTGCCTTTACAAAGGCACTTTGTGATTTGGGGGCCAGCATTAACCTCATGCCCCGGGTTATTTACAAGAGGTTGGGCATTATGAGAGCTAGACCCACCTCTATGCTGCTGCAGCTGGCTGACAGGACTGTAAAGCGTCCTTTTGGAATCCTTGATGATGTACTTATTCAGGTGGGCAAATTCGTGTTCCCTGCAGATTTTGTAATCTTGGATTGCAAAGTGGATGAGGAAATTCCTATCATTCTAGGAAGATCGTTCTTAGCCATTGGGAGAGCCTTAATTGATTGCGAGACTGGGGAGCTTAAGATGAGGCTCAATGATGAGGAGATTATATTTAACGTGCAAAAATCGATGAGACGTCCGAGTGAGTTCGCTAATTGCTCTCTCATTGATACTGTTGATGTAATCGTTGAGTCCGATGATGAAGTATTGACTGTGGAGGATCCCCTGCTTGCATGTTTGACTAACTTGGAGGAAGTAAATGGTGAAGACTTGGCAGAGTGGATACTAGCATTAGAAGGTAGGGGGTTTTGGGAACGAAATCTGGAGTTTGAACCCCTACACTTAGAAAAAAGAGAGAGCCCTCCAGCGAAACCATCTATTGAAGAACCACCGAAGCTGGAGCTAAAGCCACCGCTAGCTCACCTCAGGTATGAATTTCTGGGCCCTAACTCCACTCTACCTGTTATTATCTCATCCAGTTTGCTAGATGTGAAGGTGCAACAACTTTTACAGGTTTTGAAAGAGTGCAAGACTGCCATTGGGTGGACCATGGCAGACATCAAAAGGGTTCAGCCCCACTTACTGTATGCACAAGATTCTGCTCGAAGAGGGACACAGACCTTCCAGGGAACATCAAAGGAGGCTGAATCTAAATATGAAGGAAGTGGTGAAGAAGGAGGTAATTAAGTGGTTAAGTGCAGGGATCATCTTCCCTATCTCTGACAGCAGCTGAGTTAGCCCAGTTCAGTGCGTGCCTAAGAAGGGTGGTATGACGGTGGTGAAGAATGATAATAACGAGCCAATCTCTACGAGAACCGTCACTGGCTGGAGAATATGCATGGATTATAGAAAGCTGAATCTGGCCCGAAAGACCACTTCCCACTTCCCTTCATTGACCAGATGTTAGACAAATTGGCCGGGAGGTCGCACTTCTGCTTCCTCGATGGGTACTCAGGGTACAACCAGATCTCTATTGCCCCTGAGGACCGAGAAAAGACCTCATTCACTTGCCCCTATGGCATATATGCTTTCAGGAGGATGCCCTTTGGCCTTTCTAATGCACCCGCCACGTTCCAACGGTGCATGATGGCCATTTTCACTTATATGGTTGAGGACATTATGGAGGTGTTCATGGATGATTTCTCAGTGGTAGGGAATTCATTTGATGAGTGTCTTGTGAATCTGACACGCGTGTTGAAGAGGTGTATCGAGACAAATCTGGTGCTGAACCGGGAGAAGTGCCATTTTATGGTGCAAGAAGGTATACTCTTGGGACACTGGGTGTCAAGCAAGGGGATAGAGGTAGACAGGGCCAAAGTTGACGTCATAGAAAAGCTGCCTCCAACAACATCAGTCAAGGCAACAATGAGTTTTCTTGGACATGCCGGTTTTTACCGACGGTTCATTAAAGACTTCTCCAAAATCGCAAATCCCCTCTGTAAGTTATTAGAAAAAGATCACCCTTTTGTGTTTACTGATGCTTGCAGGGTTGCTTTTAAGGAGCTGAAGCAGAAGCTGGTCACAGCACCGATCATTGTTGCCCCCAACTGGGAGAAACCGTTCGAGCTAATGTGTGACGCGAGTGACTACGCAGTGGGAGCGGTGCTGGGCCAGCAGAAGGACAAACTAATGTATCCAATCTACTACGCCAGTAGAACGCTGAGTTTAGCCCAACTCAACTATACTGTGATAGAGAAGGAAATGCTGGCTGTAGTATTCGCATTCGACAAGTTCTGGTCCTACCTGATATGATCAAAGGTAATTGTATACACTGACCATGCAGCTCTTAGATATCTAGTTGAAAAGAAGGACTCTAAGCCATGCCTGATTCATTTGGTGTTGTTGCTTCAAGAGTTCGATCTTGAAATACGTGACCGAAAAGGCACTGAGAATCAAGTCGCTGATCATCTATCACGACTTGAGGGAGCTGAGAACACAATTGAAGTGGAGGAAATTCTTGGAAACCTTTCCAGACGAGCAATTGCTCGCCACCACTAATCTGGAAGCGCCATGGTATGCGGATTTTGCTAATTACCTGGCCAGTGGTATAGTTCCTCATGACCTTTCTTCGGTCCAGAGGAAGCGATTCTTTCGTGAAAGCCGTTTGTACTATTGGGATGAACCCTATCTCTTTAGAATATGCCAGGATAACATGATCCAGAGATGCGTCTCCGAGATGGAACAATCGTCTATTTTGCAGGCTTGTCATGCATCGGCATATGGAGGATACTTTGGAGGAATAAGGACAGCAGTAAAGGTACTGGAGGCTTGATTTTTCTGGCCAACGGTGTTCACGGATGCTCACACATGGGTGAAGGGGTGTAATGAATGTCAACGCACCAGGAACATCTCCCGGCACCACGAAATGCCAATGAACCCAATTCAGGAGGTTGAAGTGTTTGATGTCTGGGGGATAGACTTCATGGGTCCCTTTGTCAACTCTTATGGCAATAAGTACATCCTTGTTGCTGTCGATTATGTCTCCAAATAGGTGGAAGCTGCAGCATTACCCACCAACGATGCAAAGGTTGTGGTGGGGTTTCTGAAGAAGAACATATTTACCCGTTTTAGGACACCACGAGCGATTATCAGCGACGGGGGCACTCACTTCTGCAATCGAGCATTTGAGAAGCTGCTAACTAAATATGATGTGCGTCACAAGGTAGCTACTCCGTACCACCCGCAAACTAGTGGACAGGTTGAGGTCTCTAACAGGGAAATAAAGAGTGTATTGACAAAAACAATAAATGCCACAAGAACTGATTGGGCGAGGAAATTAGATGATGCGCTCTGGGCGTATAGAACAGCGTTCAAGACACCAATTGGGATGTCTCCTTACAAGTTGGTATTTGGAAAGGCCTGTCACCTACCTGTTGAACTTGAGCACAAAGCGTGGTGGGCACTGAAATAGTTGAATCTAGATATGGAAGTAGCGGGCACGTCAAGAGTCACAGAACTGCACAAGCTTGAGGAGTTCCGCCATCTTGCTTTTGAGAGCACAAGGTTATACAAGGAAAGGATGAAGCGACTATATGATCAGAAAATTGTGGAGCGCAATTTCAAAGCCGGGGACATGGTACTACTGTACAACTCAAGATTGAGATTATTCCCGGGTAAGTTAAAGTCACGATGGTCTGGCCCATTTCGGGTTGTTGAAGTCTTTCCGTCAGGAGCTGTGGAAGTTGCTGCTGAGAATGGCTCTCGCAATTTTAGAGTCAATGGTCAGCGGTTGAAGCTATATGTGGGAATGAGTGAACCTAAAGATGGATCTGCACTGCACTTGAACGAACCACAATGGTCGAGCGAGCCGTAAAATGCGCTCTTCTGAGTCGTGTCGCGATGTTAAATCAGGCGCTGCGTGGAAGGCAACCCACGACATTGTTGTAATTTGTAATCAAGTAGAACGTGAAAAAAAAAACGATTGCGACCACGGAGAGGATCGCGGTCCAAACTGCGGAAAAGGCTGAAGAAAATTGCTGAAGCTCAACATTTGGCCGCGACCGCGGGCTCGACCGCGGACCACTCTGTAACGAAC